TGATGAGGTTTTAAAAAATGGAGCATGCAATGAAACAGCCCCATGTAAGAGCCCGTTTTAAATGTGTTGACCACATTTAAAAAAAAAAAAAAAAAGATGGTCTATCTGGGCGAAGAGGCAAGGTCTCTGCTTTAAAGTCGCCCAGCAGTTTGGATGGCACCGTGCGGGGCGCTGGGGCGGACGGCGTGCGGACCTGGGAGACTCCGAACCAGAGGGCCGCGGGCCTCCCGCTTTCCCCTGGAGGTCTGGAACTTCAGGACGCAAGCATTTCCGGAAAGTTTGAGAGTTTGCGTTTTACAGCCACCCGCCCCCCCCCACACACACATATTTGCTCCCTAACATATGAAGAATTTATTTAGGGCTTATACAGGCCAGCGAAAGCCACCTGCGATCCGTTAAAACAGCAGTACTTTTTTCTTTCCTTTTTTGGGGGATGGTGATGGGGGGGTGTGCCTCAGGTCATTCCCCCCCCCCCAGTGCTTCTAGCAGGCTCCTTTCGGTTCCGATTTGCCTTGGGAGGGTTAAATGAATCATTATTATCATCATTATTATCATCATCGTCGTCGTCGTCATCATCATCAAACTGCTATGAAATAGTGAGTCGGCGCCGCCTGCGCGCACGCAGTCTATGGGTAGGCGCCAGGCGTTCCCACGCGTTTCTGCACACGCTCCGACCTCTACGGTTTTAAAGAGAAATTCATTTTACCGCGTTGTTTAACACTCACTACCTATAGCCTACACGGAGTCGTCTTCAGAGTCCGGAAATGTGAGAGTTCCCCCGCCCCGGGAGGTGGTGGCGAGGAGTTCTGGGTGTGACGTTTCCTTTGGATACTTTAAGTGACAGTAGAGCATTGTTAGTGGAGTTTGTTCGGGGTTAGCACACACACAAAAAGATCTTGCAGCGCGCGCAGTTCTGGAGGTGGTCAATAACTCACCAAATCGTAACTTAAACACGATGAATTTAGGAGATTAAACAATTTCATTAATATTGAAATGGGTCTTGAGTCTGGGCTGCCCTGCTTGAGATGCAAGCGCACGTTTTTCAATATTAACAGAAGTGCTTGAAGAAAAGAATAATGTCACCTTCTTAATTCGGAAAATATAACCGGGAGGAGGGGGTGGGCGCGAGGAGGTGGGGGTGGGGCGGTGACCCGCCTCTGGGGGCACCGCTCGAGCCGGGCTGATACGCGTATTGCCCCTTTCGGAGGAGTAAACCGGTCCGGACTCGGCGGAACCGCGGCGGAGGTGGGCCGAGGCAGCCCTGCTGGTCTGGGTGCGCGAGCTACGGAGGTGCGGTTGGCGGGGTACTCAACGGGCTGCTTTTGCCTGGAGGGTCCCGGGATGGGAGGACCTGGGGAGCCCAAAGAGGTGAGGCACTTGAGGGGACCGTGAGGAGGAACAGCAGGGAAAGCTTGTGTTTTGCAGAATGCAAAGGTGCTGGTGGAGTCTTTCTTGCTGCCGACTACAGCTGGCCCCAGAGGTACGAAGCCGAGTTTTGGGGGCTCCTGGTACCACTCCAGGGATTTGGGGATGTTCTTTCAGCAAACGTGCACCAGCTCATACTGAATTGTAAAGCCGGGTTAAAAAAATAGTCATGGTGGTTAGATTGGAGCTGGTGAGCCTGGGAATGAAAGATCCCAGTGACAGCCACGAAGATTCTTTTCTACCACCGAGTCTGGCAGGAGAATCTCGAGGGAACAGTGTTTTCTCATTTTAACAACCGGCGTTTGCTCGCCCTTGCAAAGGGCCAATGCATGACTGACGAAAGCACTGCTCAGAGTACACAGTAGATTAACTAAACTCTAAGAGTGGAAGCGTTCGGGTTCAAACACACAAACACACAAGTTGGAATAAATCTTTGTCCGTCTCCCCGGGGCGATTGTCACCACCAGGTTTGCGACACGCAGTGATACACATAGGAGGATCCCTCAGCGTTTAGCTACTGTAGGACTAGGACTTGAGCCACGTTGCCCTTGCCCAGGATTAATGAAGTAAATGTAGTGAGTGGCACAAATTTGCCTTGCCCGGCGCGGGAAGTTGCAAAGCGCCCCTTTAAAACACCGCTTTGCTACAAAGTTACATCGCGGTTTCCGCGGGAGGTCTACAAAGCCACGGGGAGGGAGGGAGGCTTTGCACGCTATTTACAGCATTTTAAGACTGGTATTATAAAGAGGGGGAGGGAAAGAGCACTTTCCAGAAATCTTGAAAAGCGCATCAGAGTCTATTGTACAGCACCCAAAGCAAACAGAGATGGAGGGGGCACATCCGACCCGGAGGCTTACAGAGTTGTTGGGAAAACTGTATAAAATACACATAAGTCAATTATACCCATGTGCAAACCAAATGGAAATCTCTTTCGTGCAATAGCCATTCATCGCCTCCGCAGAGCTCGCCACCGACCACCTTTCTGCTTGGAGAGTTCGCAATGGCTTCTTTTCCCACAAGCTGGACCACACACGGCTACAGATTTCGTAATAATTTATGCTAATTTCCCTCCATAAATCCACAATTCGCTTCAGTGGCACCCGGGCTGCCGAGGGAGTGAAAAGGAGACCGAGGGGGTGACAAATACAATATTGATTTTGATTCCTTCTGTTGTCAAGCAGGTGTGTGCGCGCGGAGAGCTGGGCTGTGCTAGGGGCGGGGGCTCCGGGAGCGGACCACCGTCCCCACCCCCTCGTCCACACTCCAGAAAACGCGCCCGGTTTGTTAATATTTACCAAACACCGGAGGGAGGTGGAGGGGAAGTACCCAGCAGCTTCCCAAGGTTTCCTAGGCGCCAAAAACAATCCCGCCGCCCCCCTCCTGCCAAGTGAACTCGGCGCGGCCCGGAGCGTCGCAGCTCTGCCGGGCTCGCGTCCCCTCCCCGCGCTCCTGCGCTCCGAGCCTCGCCCTGCCTGGCCCGCTACTCCCGCTCCCGCGGCACCGCGGTCTCGCTTTACTTCTCTTTTGATCTCTCCTGCCAAACTGTCAGTGAAATGTGCTGGAGGGGGGGGGGTCGCCGTGGATTCGGGGGTGTGGGGCCTCGCGGTCCCCTCCGTCCCACCTGCCCCCGCCCCACTTGCCCGGGTGCCGCGCGCCCCCTGGGAACCCGCGCGCACGCATCGCGCCGCGGCTTTGTCCCGGCGCTCATTCTTCGCCCAGTCTGCACTTTGGTGCTGTGAAACGACTTAGCTTCTCTTTCAAAAGGATTTTGTTCCCGGGGTATTGAGCACTAACACAAGCCCTGAGTTCAATCCCCTGTACTGCAAAAAAAATGTAAAAAAAAAAAAAAAAAAAAAAAAGCCTTCTCGAGTGAGTGCGTGGAGGCGGCTTGTCCACGGAGTCTGTGAGCCGCCCCCTGCACGGCCCCACCAGGCTGCACCGTCCCGGGCCTGGGGCAGAGGGGACCCGCTGCTGCCCCGACCGCTGGCGGCTTTGAGAGCCACAGTCCAGCACCCCTGTCCAGGACGGCACTGGGACTCTGAGCCCGCTCTCCCTGGCCCCTGGAACCAAGTCCGGCTGGGAGTCAAACTGCCTAAAAGAAAGAGGTGGGGAGGAGACCCTTTCCACCGCCACCAGCGCCCCCACCTAGGCTACATGGAGGGCCTTTCACCAACCAGTAGGCGCGCTTGTCAGCGGGGAACTTCGGAGCCATCTATTTTATCAGTTGGTGACTGATCTAGATGGGCGTTGGACCTTAACTCAGGGAAGTTGAAAAGAAA